TTCTTGAAAAAACGCAAAAATTTACAAGAAGTTGCAGTAAAAACACGGCAAAAAAATGCAAAATTATTTTGACAATGAAGCAACATCATCAGCGTTACACGCAACAATGAAACCGGCTCGTGGTGGAAAGTGTTTGGTAACTTTGAGTACTTATGAGGTATGTAGACAACAATAACAACAAATAGACTTGCTACACAAATTATTAAATGCAACAACAACATCTAACAACATATTTGTGTGTTAATCATAAATAAGCAACATGCATATTCGTTAGAGAGTCGTGTACCTAGTCCACCTCTTATTTATGTGTGCACATCTGAGAAAGATCAGGTGTGTGTGCGAGGGTTTTATGTGTAGGAATAATATATGAATTTCATTAAACGAGGGCCCTGCCATTAATATATGGGGACTTAACTACTTCGCATGTAGGAGTTTTAGCAATAAAATGCAATTTTATTTAGTGATGCCAATAGTTTCTTCTAAGATTCAAGACACTTACTGTAAGCGGAAGAAATTGGTCTAAATATTAAGCAACCACCTACTTGATAGTTTTCATTATAAATTGACAAGTCTCTATTATATAAAGTTTTGAACTTATAACCGGTAATCATACACTGGACTTATTTTATACCGGTTTCATTCTTTGTCTCGATCAATATCGGTCTATAATTCTCTCTAACCCCTATATGTGGTCTTTTCTAGAAAATCGTTTAAACCAGACACTTTAACAAACCCTCGTATGGCAGATTAAATAGTATAGCGAAATTATTTTCTGAACAAAAGTGTTATTTTTTTCGTAAACATCTGTTTAAACTGCGTATTTTACATGTTTTTCTCCTCTTTTGTCTTAAAAGTGTCGAAAAAGATTAAAGCTATTAAACATGTGTCACACGAAATGGAAAGTTTATTTGAAGAGTAAACAAGAAATTTCTTAAATTTCTCAATTAATTGATTAAATAAAATATAAAAAATATTTTATCTAAATCGAAACATTTCAAGCAAAAAGCAATGTCAAACAATGTCTAAGCGCTTTATTCATTACAAAAACAAAAATTATAAATATAAACAAGAAAATTAAATAATTAAAATGTAATTAAATGTAAAATTGTTGTTATGATTACAATGACTAAATATTTGGTAACAAATGATACAACAACAAGTTAATTTAATTAAAAACAGTGTGTGTTCCAATTATTTTATGTCATAGTGTAATGTAATTGTTTAGTTAATTTTACCGTTATCTTTGTTTATCAGAAAACATTTTTATAAATATAAATAAACATGATATTGTTGTGAAAGATTTCTAAGATATTTCTACAGTTAAACGGAAATGATGATTCTTCAATTAAAGATTTTTTTTATAGTAAACTGGTGGTTAATATTAAATTTACATTTAAAACTTATTATTTATACAATTTTATAAGTGGAGAAGAGAATAGATTTTAAATAAAATAGATTTTTTTTAATTGACTAAAATACTACTTCTCTTATTTTTATTACATTGCAGGATCGAAAGGAGGCACTGTTAAATACCACAATATTGGATGATGCTGGTACCTGTCGATCTAAAGGACCTAAAATAAACTCTCTAACACAAACAAAACAACAACAGCAAAATGATACATTGGACAGTAGAGAGCCAAACAAACAGGAGACATATAGTCATATACCAAAACCACCGGTAAGAAAAAACAATTTGTAAAAAATGATTAATAATATTAAAGAAATTCTTAACCCTCCCTAAAGCCTCTACAGATGACCAATAACAACACCTATAAAGTCAACAATAACACAACATCTGAACGTTTAACAAATGGTGTTCAAAATGGAAATACTTACAATGGCAATGACACTTACAGCAGACCCAACAAATCATCATCTGCCTCTACCAATGGTTTCAACAACAACAACAACACTGCCACCAACAACACTCAAGCAAATAGACAAACTTTACGTTTGGGTACTGTTACCATAGGAGAATACCGCCAACCTTCCAATATGAGAAGAGAACCAGAAAAATTCGATTTTCTAACGACGCAAAAGAAAGGTAGAGATTCAGGTGATACCACACCTACAAATGAGGCCTTACAAAGTGAATTACAAGTACTCTGTCACGTGCAAATCTACGCAAATCCAATGGCAATTCATATACCGAACATCAGCGTAATTGTCCTTTGCATCAGCAACAGCAGCAATTGCAACAACAACAACGCCAAAGTGTGGATTATGGCAATAATGGTTTTCGGTAGAGGAAATGTCTAAGAAATTACAAAATCATCCATAAATGATAATAATTCGGGGGAAATGTTAACGAAAACAAATAATCGGGCGGTGAATGGTGCCTCTGGAACGACAGGTGTTGGTTTTAAAGAATGGTAATCGTAATGGCACCAGTAGTAGTAAATCTACCGAGAAATCGATTAAGTTTGGTTAATGTTTAAGTAAGAATGTTTTGAAAAAAAGTGAAATTTCGGAAGCATTTCGAATTTGCCTAAAAAATGTTGTCACAAAGTATATTTTTGCTAATTTCAGCTTAAATGTATTATAAATTGTTATATTATTATTTCGCCTGGCCTTTTAATATCTACCATTGTTTTTATATGCTTCTTTAAGAAAATTTTTGTTAAAAATTACATTTTATTATAAATTTTAATTATAAGCAGAATATAATTTAGTTTTATGTGCAATAAAATCTCAAAATGTATATAATTAAAAAGAAATAAAAATAATAAAGCAAACGAAAAAATTATTAACATTTCGTTTAATGAAGTAAGGAAGATCAGAGCAGGAGAGAGACACGCGGGGGACGCCGACGAACAGAAGGAACAAACGAGGAAGCAGGCGAGAAAAAGGACGGAGGCAAACAGCACCAGGAGAACAACGAACGACGAACGAACGAACGAACGAACGAACGAACGAACGACAAGAACGAACGAACGAACGAACGAACGAACGAACGAACGAACGAAACGAACAACGAAGAACGAACGAACGAACGAACGAACGAACGAAAACGAACGAACGAACGAACGAAACGAACGAACGAACGAACGAACGAACGAACGAACGAACGAACGAAAGAACGAACGAACGAACGAACGAAAACGAGAACGAAGAACGAACGAACGAACGAACGAAGAACGAACGAACGAACGAACGAACGAACGAACGAACGAAACGAACGAACGAACGAACGAACGAACGAACGAACGAACGAACGAAAAAGAACGAAACGAACGAACGAACGAACGAACGAACGAACGAACGAACGAACGAAACGAACGAACGAACGAACGAACGAACGAACGAACGAACGAACGAACGAACGAACGAACGAACGAACGAAACGAACGAACGAACGAACGAAGAACGAACGAACGAACGAAAACGAAAACGAACGAACGAACGAACGAACGAAACGAACGAACGAACGAACGAACGAACGAACGAACGAACGAACGAACGAACGAACGAACGAACGAAAGAACGAACGAACGAACGAACGAAAAACGAACGAACGAACGAACGAACGAACGAACGAACGAACGAACGAACGAACGAACGAACGAACGAACGAACGAACGAACGAACGAAAGAAACGAACGAACGAACAAACGAACGAACGAACGAACGAACAACGAACGAACGAACGAACGAAGAACGAGAACGAAACGAACGAACGAACGAACGAACGAAACGAACGAACGAAGAACGAAACGAACGAACGAACGAACGAACGAACGAACGAACGAACGAACGACGAACAAGAACAACGAACGAACGAACAACGAAACGAACGAACGAAGAACGAACGAACGAAACAACGAACGAACGAACGAACGAACGAACGAACGAACGAAGAACGAACGAACGAACGAAACGAACGAACGAACGAACGAAACGAACGAACGAACGAACGAACGAACGAACGAACGAACAACGAACGAACGAAAACGAACGAAGAACGAACGACGAACGAACGAACGAACGAACGAAACGAACGAACGAACGAACGAACGAACGAACGAACGAACGAACGAACGAACGAACGAACGAACGAACGAAAGAACGAACGAACGAACGAACGAACGAACGAACGAACGAACGAACGAAGAACGAACGAACGAACGAACGAACGAACGAACGAACGAACGAAAGAACGAACGAAGGAAGGAAGGAACGAACGAACGAACGAACGAACGAACGAACGAACGAACGAAAGAACGAACGAACGAACGAACGAACGAACGAACGAACGAACGAACGAACGAAAACGAAGAACGAACGAACGAACGAACGAACGAACGAACGAACGAACGAAACGAACGAACGAACGAACTAACGAAAGAACGAACGAACGAACGAACGAACGAACGAACGAACGAACGAACGAACGAACGAACGAACGAAACGAACGAACGAACGAACGAACGAACGAACGAACGAAACGAACGAACGAACGAACGAACGAACGAACGAACGAACGAACGAAACGAACGAACGAACGAACGAACGAACGAACGAACTAACGAACGAACGAACGAACGAACTAACGAACGAACGAACGAACGAACGAACAAACGAACGAACTAACGAACGAACGAAACTAACGAACAACGAACTAACGAAACGAACGAACGAACGAACGAACGAAACGAACGAACGAACGAACTAACTAACGAACTAACGAACACTAACAACTAACTAACTAACTAACTAACTAACTAACTAACTAACTAACTAACTAACTAACTAACTAACTAACTAACTAACTAACTAACTAACTAACTAACCAACCAACCAACCATCCAACGAACGTGTGGACAATAAAATATACATATATGCGAAATTCTATCGGTTACACTTTTTAATAAACGTCTAATCGATATTATAGAAAAATCTTTCATCGATTTTTATATCAACATCCTATAGTTATCTGTGGTTTCTTCGATATAATAAATAATTATGGTAAATGTTACTATACTATCTACATACATTTATTAAATTTAATTTCTACATTTATCCCATAAACTATTGACTCAACAAACTACAACTGGTCGAATAATTCCTCCACGAAGATTGTGAATAATTCGAGTCTACATGCACCTGAGCATAACAAAGTTCCTCTTCGCCCAGGACATCAGTACTCGAAAAGGGTGAAGAACAGGAGATGTGAAAAAGATTGGGATGTAAGAGACGTATAGTGGCAACACGTTCACGCCAAGTTTTCCAGAAGAGCTAAAAAAAAACAAATTAGATTTTTAATTTTAAAAATATTTCGCCAACTTACACTTTTATATAGATGACCGCCAAATTCAAATAGCATAGGTTTCTCCTCTTCACCACAAATAGAAATGCGCATAATATTTCTATTCTTTTTGCGAAAGAAATTTAATTTAACAAATTGCAAAGGCATGAGGCTTACTAATTGGAAAGTTTCTATTTCGGGATCTAGACCTTTG